TTGCTCAAAGAGAAGGGATAGTTTGGTAACAGGCCTCCCTTAACGACTCTGCAAATGTCACTAAGAAACTCAGATTTTCAAGTAAATGTCTTGACCACCTATGTAGATGGCCTTGATAACTCTTTCTTCTTTCTCACTTCATGAATTTTATTCTACTCTAAGCAGTTTCCACAGCAGATCCAGAGAAATCTCCATCCTCCTCCCTTGACACCCCTACTTTTTGGTGGCCACAGACCTCCAAAGAGGCATCAGAGAGGTAAAGGACACCATGTCAGAAAGTGGTCACTGCCACTTCATTTTAAGTACAACATGATATACAAGGTTTCTAAAACCTAGGACATTTCTAAAATGAAGCCTCATAGGTGAAATAGTGAGAGGAAAGACTTTGTTTCCTGACGCGTGCCAGTACCCAGCTCATGTGAAGACAGGTGTGACTTGGTTATGGGTGGAAGCAGAACTTCAGAGGCCTGAAAAGCTTTACAGTAAAAACATGTTCCTCCGTGAAACTTTAGTGTCTTCAGATCTGAATGGCATCTGCACTGTATTTACCAAGTAACTGTTTTAGATGAGCTCTTGAAATGCTGCTTTTGTGTGGCTCATGCTAGGTCTGCTCCTGCTCGTGTCTGCACTGTGATTCTAATGCTCAGCCCAGAAGTTGTAATTGGAAAATAAGTTATTAACAGGACTTAGTGCCTTCTTGTTCTGCCCACCAGCTTAGCCCTTTTAAAGGTAATGGGAAAGGTGTTAAATATCGAATTTGTGCACGTTCCCGAACTCAAAGAAATAATTCCAAAATCACCACTTTCATTCTATATTCTATTAATTTAGTGACTAGATTATTGAACTAAATATGAGAGAGCGGGGCCTATTACCACCTTAGATATAAAGTACGAGTTCAGCAAAATTTATAACTTTTTTTTTCCTGATGGAGAAAAAAAAAAATGTTCAAGCCGATAAGCAAGTTGGAGAGAACTGGGTGAATATTTGTACTGAAACAATAACAAAATACATAGATGCACTTAAATTTATCTCAGTCATATTACCTTTTAAAAGACAAAAGGTTAACTCAAAGTAAGCTGTTAAGAGAGAAACCAGGGAGGAAATGATAAGACATCTGAGGTAAACAGTTTTAAGAACATTAAAACAACAACAAATGAGGGTATCAGAGAGGAAAAAAAAACACCTAGTTGTCTCCACCCAAGTGAGAAACATTTCAGCCTTCTCAAATGCAAGAGCTAGGGGGTAGAGTATTTGGAAACTTGAAAGCCAAGGCAAAGGATGAGAGGTGAGGGATGCAGAGGTGTATGAGCAGCAGCTAGCACATCGATGGCAATACAGCTGCTGTGAGGAGAGCCACAGAACGGAGGCAAGAGGGGTGAAGGCACCTCACAGTGGTGCACAGTGCACAGCCCTTTCATTTCTTTTGCTAACACATTTGGTACCTCTAAGCAATGCCCAAATACCACTACTTTAACAGGGTTCCTATCCCTACAAATTCATGTGATGGGGGGATCCTGACTGAAAGCTCATGTAAATGCCATCATGAGTTGAACCCACATCATATACAGAGCTGGGAACCAATGGTAGACAGGGTAGAGAGCCAGTTCAAACATGCATGGAAGTGGATGGACTGAATCACCCCTCCCAGGGTGAGGAATGGGTGTTACTTTCTGAGGTCTGGACTTAAAAGAACCAAAAAGACAAGTGGCAGTGATATTTTGTTTCTTGTAATAACTATAACATATAAGCAGCATGTGTACAAACACAAGCAGTAATGGACCATTAATTCTACACCAGGTCTACCTCACTAATTCAACAAGATCAAGGATTTATGATCAACAGGCTGTAGCAAGAAATTATTTTTCTCTTTGCTTTTCCTTTTCACATCCCTTGTAAAATGCATTACTCCCATGACGTCTTTCAACAATGAACTCTGTACAGATTTTAGCAAGAAGTCCAAGTTGTATTGGGCTTCCTATTTAACAGTATCTGAATATTTTTAATGTGTTTCAGATTCCTGACTTTAAATTCTATAAAGATCTTATCTAGCAAAACTCCTTAACCTGCAGTTAACTTTCAGCCCACAAATGTTTCTGTTGGTTCCCATAGAATGAATTTCCTACCTGAAATTTCATACTTGGAAAAGGTACGCGTTCTAAATATTTTTGTTCACTGTGGCCTAAAACTAGAATTTCAGGTTGCTCCCAATTTTAGTAGAGCTAATAGTAAAAAAAGGGAAAGGAAAGCAAAAAGGGAAAGCAAAAAAAGGAAAGCAAAAGGAGCTTTCTAAAATATCTCCTTTCATTTTTCAAAAAAAAATATGTATCTCTTGCTCCAGAAGCAGTTTCTATATACTTGAGAAAGGTGAGCATTTATCAGCTTTCCTTTTCCAGGACCATTATGTCAGTTTGCTTCTGAAAGATTTAATATCCAATGCAGCTTTTACCTATCTAAAATCATGTGTGGGCTGCCAAGAGTGTATCCATACAATAAGATGTCTGGGATCACAGAACTACTCTTGCCCTACTCCAAAAAGCCTTTCAAGACACAACAGCCCAGAAAGAAGAAAATGAGAAATGGAAACAAACTCACCACAGTTATGCCATCATTTAGCAATGACTCTCCAAAAATCATCATATAAAGCTGCTCATTAACTGAGGCCTCTTCAAAAACTTCCAGAGCTGCCACAGGATCAACAGCTGAAATCATGCTGCCAAAGAGCAGGTTCTGCAGCAGGTTCAGGTCAGTCAGACCAAAGGCTTCTATCTGGCAGATTCCATAGAGGGAGAGGCCGATGCCAAAGCAGTTCAGGAGAGAGCCCAGCACGGACCACCATAAGATGGATCCAAAGTTTTCAAAAAATGGGCGAGTTGGCATGAAATAACCCTCCTCCAAAACAATAGGTGGAAGGAGATACAGAAAGTAAATACTCGTGTTCATCACTGGTGGGGATTTGTGATCAGTGACAAAAATGATCACTCCAACTAGTGCTCCAATGACAATCAGGACACAACTTTCGGGCATGAGTCTTGGTAACCGGTGATAGAGATGGAAACCTTGAAAAAAAAAATGGGATGTTATTCAAGTTTAAATTAACCTGACATCCACATGGATGTTTTGACTATCACTGAATATTTTGTCTTCAAGCCAGGTTCTGCTCTTAGAATTACTAGCGTAAATACAAACAGTACTATTTCCTTCAAAATGAATCATCTCTGGATTTTCACTGCTACATCAGGGGAAGAATTTGGCCAAGAATCTCTTTTCTAGGTTTCTGAACCTGGACTCCATTTCTAGAAAGAGTTAAACATCTGTCCATGGACATTTTAAAAATGTTCTCCACAAGAAACAATTCCTTGCTGAATAACTGCCAAGAAAAAAAGGCTGCACTTATCATAAAATCATATCCTCTTGCCCACTTTGATGTATTGGATGTATTGCTACTGCAAGGCATTCATATAATTCACCTGCTACTGTGGTAATGTCTAACTATGGTTCATCTGGTCACTGTATCAGGTACTGTATAAACATACTGTGAATGAGAGCTGCCTCGTATATATAAATGTAAAAGTTAGTCCAAATTTAAAAGAATGAGAATGAGGCAATCTAAAAAAGACTATAAATCCAGTAACCGCATCTCTATACCAGAAGCTAGATGAAGCTAGGTGATAAACTGGGTTGTTAATGACGTAACTGCATTTCTGTCACTTTCAAATGGCAGTGTTCAAACTAAAGGAAAAGAGAAATTATTTTTATGAAATTTAAAATGACTTCCTTGCAAGCTCAACTACTTCTAATAAAAAACAAAAATAAAAATAAAAATAAAAATAAAAATAAAAATAAAAATAAAAATAAAAATAAAAATAAAAAGTCATGGGTTTATTAATCTCATTTTTAATAATAATTTAAAAAATCATTCAAATCTTCTGCCAAACTTACAGAATGATGGGATTATGTTTCCATCCCAGAAAGGCTTTCAAGATCTCAGAAGTGTTTCACTACCCAAAAACTTAAAATCCAAAAGGAAGATCATTTATGAATGCCATACTGATTTTTTTTTTAATTTGGTAATCTTTCCTAGGACATTTATTCACACTAGCTAATTTTCCAAAGTAGCTTGGAATTCAACATCACTACACTTTTCAACAGTAATTTTGTTGGAAAATTCCCAACAAAGGAACAAGTCCTTCTACTCCGCTGGATCATAAAGTTCCTGTTCTGAAAGATCTATTTCTTGCTCAAACACAGGCAGTAGAGAAGATCAGCCAGATGGCAAGTCTTGTGCTTTTATAGAAGATGCATAAAGAAATTAGTCAATGTCCTCACTGTTAACACACACTTATGAGGAGATAACAACAAAATTACATTCATGGCAATTTTGGTAATTGTTTTAGTAATAAAAACCTCTGTTCATAGGAGTTGGATTTGAACAAATAACTACTATGAAACTGCCAAATCATGGTCAGCAGTAATGATCTTTGACAGTTGTTTGACTGCGCTAGGAAAAATTGACAATATCTTCAGACTACCTCCAGAAAATAATGTCACACATACCAGACCATTCTATAGCAATGTTTGAAAATCACATGGCAAGAAAAACACTTATACAAAGCTCCTGACATTGTCATCTACACCTGCATTTAAATATTTTTGCTACATTAGTTCTAAATGGCAAAAGCAGTTTGAGCCCAGCCGTAAAGATACAGGATAGATGATATTTTTGCTGTGTTAATTGCAGAGCCTTCTTCTATGTGAGTTTGTCTTTCTTTGTTCAGATACATATATCGAACTAAAATAGAAGCAAGATGCAAATAGCATTTGCCCTACTTCTCTGATGACCTACACCCTATTGGTCTATCAGAGAAACCTTGAACAAACATTTAAAATAAAGACTCATAAGGAACTGTTTCCTGTTATTCACACAACAGAAGAACACTTCTCACCTTCCTCCCTCACCAGATTAAGTAGATGTAAAGTCTCAATCATCTTTTATTGATTTCTACAGCTATGGCAGATTCTAAGCTCTGGTATCTTGTGAAGTTTAAAGGTTAGAAAAAAAAAGATGAAAATAACCAGGGGGGCAGGAGATACATTGCTATTCATAAGCATGAATGACCTAAGAGACATTAATGTTACAGGTGATATGTTTACTTTAATAAGCTAGAAGCATTTTGAGTTGAAAATACGTAATTGTCAAAGTCAAAGAACACAACAGTTCTCTCCAGTACAGGACCTGTAAAAACAATCCCAGCCACAAAAATACCTGGAAAATATTTGGTTACATGGTATATTTCTAATTTCTTATCCAGACAGAAGAACCCAAGATCCCATTTTCTACTTACCTATTTTTGCAAGAGAGGCAAGGAGTATCCAAAGAGTAACTTCACAAGGAATTTGCACACTAGCATAATCAAAAGTGAAAACATGCAGCCTTGCATCTTGTGAAGAGTCAACAACACCCCCACGGTCAGGTTCATAGTCAGTCAGGAAATTGCTGCTCAGATGGGTCTCATCCGAATAAAGAGCAGCAGAAGGGTATACCAGTGCCAAGAGCGACAGCGCGCGGTTCAAGAGCCTTGCACATGGGAGCACAGGAGAGCCCATGTCTGGGGCTGTGACTCTCCTCCGTTACCGGTGTCGCATATGGTGGGTGCACACAGGCGTGCAACACTTGCACCTCTCGATTCGCACTGCTCTTATTCCCAGCTGCTTCTTCATCAGGGACGCTTCGTTTGCCTGTTAGAATTCATTTTTAAAATCCTAACCTGCCTGTGCTCTTCCCTGTGTTACAGCCAGACCTGGAGTTTCAGTGAAGGCGGCAGTTCTGCAAGGCTCCTCAGACTCGGATCAGCGCTCGTCACAGCCTCATCCTGTCATGGAATAAGGCCTTTTATAACTACAGTTTTCCCACTCACTCTGTTTTTCCTCCACTGTCTAGGACAGCTAAACAGCAACGTGCAGCACCCAGGTAGCAAGTGCAGCCCAAGCACATGGCATCAGACGGGAGAGACAGCAGCACTGTGGCTGGGCAGTAGAGCCTGCCCCATGCCTTCCTCTCCTGTCATCTCTGCCACCTGCCTCCCTAGCACTGCTGGCAACTGAGGTACCACAGTTGGCACTGCTCGCAGGCACTTTTTCACTTGGTAAAAAAACTAGTTCGTGTGTAAATAAATGTAGGCTCCAGGGTTTGCTGGAGGGACATCTGGCGGAGGACCCTGCTAATTACATCCTCATCTAGCCCTAAAACATGGTATTTCTCTTAAAGGTGTGTGTTTACTTTAGTCAAAATTTTTAGAAAAAAATATATATATGTAAAAATAGAAGAAGATCTGTGTCAGATTATGTGCACAAAACTGAAAGTCAGGTACCTCTTGTGTTTGACATTTGTTTTACTCTTGACAACCACGTCGCCCTTCTCCAAAGAAGACTTTGACCAATTTACAAAACATGTAGCAGTCACTTCCCTACCTCCAGGGAAAAAAAAAAAAAAAAAAAAAAAAGCTTAGTGTGAAGATACGAGTATGCAAATGTAGCAGGATAGATTAGATTCTGTTAAAACCCACATTGCCCATATCAGAAGTGAGTATTTAATTTACTGACAATTACTCTTTTTACACCCACTGGTCTTGTGGTAGAAAGCAATCCTGAATCTCTTAGTGTCAGCTTATCACTACATTAGCAAGTAGTCTCCTCCTCTCCTGCTCTTAACCACTTTGTCATACCAACCTGCAGCAGCTTTCCAGAACTTTCCTCCTAAATTCTTCTACAGGAGGGAGTAGCTTATTTTTAGAGTTCAGATGTGTCCCCCTGTACTATATAGGAAAATTAAACTGCGCATTTCCTCCAGAGTTCCATTTATTAATCTTTTTTTCTATAAAAAATATAAAAATAGATCTTCCAGCAGAAATACAGTGCAAAGAGCAAAACTTTCACATGTATCAAAGTCACAGCAGAATAAGATAATAAATATAATAATAATAATGACAAAATAATAATCTATGAAATATAACTCACATTTACAGTTGTTGTACAGTGCCACATACTCAGTTCTACTGTAGACTATAGTACTGTCATATTGCAGTTCATCTCACTAGTTTGGAGAAAGCTATTGCTGACCAAAGTGACAGTCCTTAGTAGTCTCTTGATGCAAGAAAGATCTTTTGCGATCATGTCACGATTCCTGAGCTTTCTGTCATCTCTGTGTGAGCTTTCTGTTATTGATAAGCCAGGCCAAGTAACCTTTGGAAAAAACCCTTGAGGCTGTAATTTCCAAACATCTTAGTAGCTTTCACTGGCATGTGATATCGCATATATTTCCAGAACTTTTTGTCTGGAGATGCAGAAATAGAAGACTTCCAGGTAATGACTGGTAAAATCCGTAAAGCCTTCTTCACTACTGGAGGTAAAGTCTCTGGCTCTTGGAAAGCCTGGAATTTTACTAAAAGTAGTTTGATTTTCTTGTCTTCTAGTGCACAGTTTACTGCTGCCTGCAGTTCAAAGATGCTTGGTCCACTGATGTAGGCAGGACTCAGAATAATTATTACTCGCCTACTTTGTCTAATGGCTGTTACGACGTCATCTGTGTATGCTGGAAAGAAGTAACCATCGTTAGTTGGACATTGGACTGTTTATCAAACCAGTTCCTTTAACAACAGCTAATGAAATATGGAGGTAGAGTAATCACATAATCTCTACTGCATTTGCTATCAGAGATACCACTCCCTCTTTTAGACAGCCTGGAGACTACAACTTGCTGCACAAGAGTTGAAGGACACAGCTCAAACCACAACACACTTAGTTGCTACTCAGAAAGGGTCTCAAGGGAAGCTTGGATGAGTCTACATCCAACCCAGGGAAAGGTACCAATTATTGCACAGAGCACTGACTGAAATCAGTCAGAAGATAACTACTGAAGTATCTTAGGGTTTTCCTTTCAGATAATGGAGTCTATCTGCAAATAATTTGTTGGACAAGAAGCTTTAATCTCACTCTCTTGTCTCCCCAGGTAACACACTGAAATATACATGTGCCTCAGGTGCAGAGGTATAAAAATAAACCACGATGAGAATTCTGCCAAAACACACCATTTGCAGATCTTCTGCATAAGGTTTTTTGGAAAGTGAAAAACATTTTCAAAGAGCATTCAAGAATTTTTTTTTACCAGTCATGGATCCTTACCTCCTCCTGGAAGAATATCTCTTTCAAGAAGGCATAACTTGTATCCGTATTTGTTTTCCAGAATGTCTGGAAGCAGTTCCAGGGCAAATTCTTCCTCACTAATTAATGTAGACTCACTTTCAGAACAGTCTAGTTTTGCATAAGACACAAATGCATCAAATTCTTTGCCATCTAAAATAAATAAGTAAATAAGTATCACTGCATGCCTTAATAAATACATCTGAAACTTTCAGCTTCCTTTTAATCAATAATTCCATTTGTATTTTGAACATTTGTGCTCTTTTTAACAGAGTGCAACAGATTAATTGAATATTTTCACCTGTTCATGAAGCATAGCCATTCAGTTACCCAAGGCTACCTCTTACTTCCCGCTGTCTTGAAAATGTTGCAGACATATACCATCAAAGTAAATGGAGATGCTGCAGACAACTATGCGTATTGCAAAGAAAGTTTCACTTGGGCATTTTTCTGCATTTTCACAAATATGTGCCAGTTCTCACTAGTGGAAGACCTGTTCCCTTCCATCTAAATTCTATGCTGTATTTAGTGATTCTCCATCTTTTTTTTAGTGCACAACCTACTTTGGAAAGACAGTGAATTTTATTATGCCAGTGTGTAAAAGATATATGCTACTTTCTGTTATGTTTTTAATCAGAGAGACTAGTGTAAGTAGAAAAACTGAAATCTGATCCCAATACCAGCTCAGAAATTGAGTGTTGATCAGCTCCAGAATTTAGATTCAGTCCCATTAGACTGCTAGGTGCAGATACCAAATGCATTTATGGCTATTCTCATCTTTGAAACATTGTTGTTCTGCTGCCCTTCATTAGGTCCACTCTCAGCTACAAGTCAAAAGACATCTTCATTTATTTGCCAAATAAAATTTGAACCACATTTAAGGAGGAGGAAGGAAAGAGATTTCTGGAAAATGACACAATGAACTCAGTCCTCTTCCAAGTATGTAGGTGTCTAGTGTATTTGACATGCCCTAAGGTTGATCAGGTTGCCAAGCATGACACAAGAACTACCAGAAACCCTAAATGGGAATAAGAGGGCACCCTCAGGCATCCAGATGACATCAGACACCTACAGTGGAATTGTTCCATAAGTCAGGACAATCAGCAGAAACCAGAGAGCAATTCAACTGTCAGTGTAGGGTCCTACTGCAGGATCCTACAGCAAGATATGCTGAAAAGCTCTCTAAAAATTGTCTGGTATTGGCTAATAAATCTCTAGTATTGACTAGGCCTCCACAGAATGGGAACTGATACACCTATGTAACATGTAGTCACCTGCAGCACAGAGACACCTAAGTGATGTTGGGTTGAATGTCAGCTCGTGCCTCAGTGTTAAATTTGTGATTTCTATACCAAGATGTTAGTTTAGGATTAACACACCAGAGCCATCAGCTTCCCATCAGATCTAGAAAAGCCAATACGGATTCCAGGAGATGTGGGGAGTACAAAAGAAAAACTAACTGCATGCACAACCTGCGCTGAACTACATGTAGCAGATGTCATGTCAACAGAATGAAATCTAGGTGTGAAAACACACTTTCGAGCCTGAGGATGTGATTAGATAATACAAGTCAACGCTCCGCCACACATTTGCAGCACTTCCTTGCACTGGTTTTGGAGCTTTTGAGATAAGAGAGGCAGCTGATTCATCTTGCTAGCTACTCCTTTTCTTGCCAAGTACTTTCTCTACCAAGCTGAGCCCGTGTAGGCCCAGCCCAAGACAGTGAATCACCAAGAGCAGGCACAGTGGATTGGTGTCGGAGCTAGAGATGGTGCAGAGAGTCACTGGAATGATTTAGCTGTAGTGTCATGCACACTGAACTGAACTGAAGCTCTTTTAAAATAAGATTTTAAATAACACAACAAGCCAGATGTTCCTCATTTTGCCCACAGAAGTCAGTGCAGTCTTATTAGACAATCACCGCTATTAAACATATGACTACTTTCCTTTATAACATTATTGTTACACTAGAAAGCAAAAATATACATTTACTGCAAGCATCACGAGTTTTGCTTCCAGAATTGCACAGGACGACAGTTCCACCCTGAGGAAATTTTGATACAAACACATAAAATTTGCTAAGAGTTAGCAAGGAAGATTATCTGCATCAAGCAAAGTGAATGCATCAGCCACCTATAAATGTTAGAGGCAGAGATTTTGCACTGTTTCTTTCATTTTGTGGATGAAAGCAAGATTATTTGCAGGCATATCAGAACTGACTAAGAGATAAAGCATAACCTTACTGCTGTCTTTAACTACCTAATGGAGGAGTAAGAGAAGATGGACATAGGTTTCTCAGAGCTGCACTGAAACAGCAGAATAAGCAACAAGTAGCAACAAGAGAAATTCTCGTTAGATACTAACAGGTATCCCTGCTGGTAGGGATACTGTAGTAGGAATACTAGATACTAGTGGGAAAGTGCTCACTGTGACATTAAACATTGGACCAGGTTTACTAGGGAGGTTTTGAATTCTTTATCATCACAACTATGAGAATGACTCTACTTTGAGCTGGGTGTTGGATGAGAGGATCCAGCCTATGTGACTGTAATTTTCTGATTCCAAGCTGAAAGATGGGAAAGAAGAGAAGATGGAAATGAAGAAACAGCAAATAAAAAGTTGTAACTGATGCTCAATTGCTCTGTGATCAAGTTGTTCCAGATCTCTCAGGTATCATGTGATTTGTTGATGTCAATGATAACTTTTTGATGCAGGTTGTGGAGGAGCCAACGAGGAGAGGTGGGCTACTGGATCTCATGCTAACAAACAGAGAGGGACTTGTAGGAGATGTGAAGGTGGCGGGTAGCCTCAGCTGCAGTGACCATGAGTTGGTGAAGTTCAGGATCCAATGAGAAGGTGTCAGGGCTGTAAGTAGCCTTGCAACAATGGACTTCAGGAGGGCCAACTTTAGCCTCTTCAGAGACCTCCTCAGAAGAATCCCATGAGTAGAGCTCTAGAAGGTAGAGGGGCCCAAGAGAGCTGGTTAGTTTTCAAGAGGCGCTTCCTCCACGCCCAGCAGCAGTGCATCCCTGTGTGTAGGAAGTCAGGCAGAGGGGGCAGGAGACCTGCGTGGATGAGCAAGGAGCTTGTGGCAATGCTAAAGCAGAAGGCAGCGGTATACAGAATGTGGAAAAAAGGACAGGCCTCCTGGGAGAAATACAGGAACGTAGTCAGGGAATGCAAAGATGTGACAAGGAAAGTTGAGGCATGCCTGGAACGCAATCTGGCAAGGGATGTTAAAAATAACAACAAAAACTTCATCAAATGTATTAACAGCAAAAGGAAGATCATGGAAAACGTGGGCCCGCTGGTGAAGGGGGTGGAAACCGTGGTTACGAATAACACAGAAAAAGCAGAGTTGCTGAATGCCGTCTTTGCTTCGGTGTTTACCAAGGGCAGCCCTTTAGACTCTCAGGCCCTAGGGACAAGAAGAGCATCTCCAACAGGTCGAGGGAGGTGATCCCGCCCCTCTACTCAGCCCTGGTGAGGCCGCATCTGGAATATTGTGTCCAGCTCTGGGCCCCACAGTACAAGAGGGATGTGGAGCTGCTGGAGAGAGTCCAGCGCAGGGCTACAAGGATGATCAGGGGCCTGGAACATCTGCCCTATGAGGAGAGGCTGAGGGAGCTGGGCCTGTTCAGCCTGGAGAAGAGAAGGCTGAGAGGGGATCTAATCGGTGTACCTCAAGGGAAGCAGTGAGGAGGATGGTGCTGGCCATTTTCAGTGGTGGCCACCGACAGAACTAGAAGAAACAGCCAGAAACTGTAGCATCAAAAGTTCCACAGGAACTTAAGGAAAAAACTTCTTAACAGTGAGAGTGCCAGAGCACTGGAACAGGCTGCCAAGAGAGGTTGTGGAGTCTCCTTCTCTGGAGATCTTCAAAACCTGCTTGGACGCAGTCCTGTGCCACATGCTCTAGGTGACCCTGCGTGTGCAAGGGGGTTGGACTAGATGACCTCTAGAGGTCCCGTAAGGTCCAACCTTAGAGGTTCAACCTTAAACATTCTATAATTCTATGATTTGATATGCATCCATATGAGGTGAGAGGGACAGAGTCCTGCTGTGGGAAGCACATATTTTAGTGAATATGCTTCAAGCATGTAACTTGCCAGATTGGCACAGCTCTTCTGACTACTCCAAGAGCCCATACCACAAACAGCAACTCGTGCATGAGGTACACGAAGCTCAGGAAGTGGGACAGGGCTGCAGGAACATACTTAAGATGCAGTTAGCTGCTAGGGACCCAACAATGTCCTGAACTTCGATGCATAATTCTGTCTCTGCTTTACTGACATACAAGGGTAAGTGCCAAGGGGAGTTTCCAGAGGTTCTTACATCAATTTGCTACCAAACAGAAGGGAAATTTTGAGTGATTTCCCAAATCACTTTTGCCAGCTGCCAAGAGGCTCATAAAAATACTTTCCAACAGGGCAGTTAATTGTCTCATTGTGCATATATTTATAGATATATAGATACAGTTATTTCACACTTTCATATAAATGAAGCATACATATGGGAACACAAATGCAGCCACAGAGACATATACATCTCATGCTGTGACAAGATTCAAATTTTTTTTAAAAAAAATCCCTAAGTCACATAATATCAGATTTTTTTACACTCAAGCTCTTTGAAGTAGGGACTGTAATTTCTAGTATATTTTCACACAGCTCACTACCCTGAAGGTCCGTGTTAGTTGATGTGACAGGCTACATTACCTCAGAGATAGGAAATAACAGAACAGAAGGTGATGACTCTGCTGCAAACACCACAATGGACAACATAATTTTTAGAAGGGAAAGATGAATATTGCCTAAAAGTATACTTCTCTGTTGGTGCTCTATGTCATCTTATTTCTCAGCTTTGCCTACTCTTCTAAGAAATTATTTGGCTTAAACTGAAAAATGCATTAGATTTTGTACTTCACTTGATTCTGCAAGGACATTTGATTCTAGTCTTCAGTCTAGTTTTTATGACAATGCAGTTAAAATACTGGCAATTCTCTATTGTTCTCTATAGAGGGACTGCTACAATTCAGCACCCTACTCTGATCTTCTGTGGGTAAATAAGGGATTTTATAAAGAATAATTGAGACATTTCAGTTGTTGTTTATATATTTCTTCCAAACTGTCCAGAGATTTTGCCATCTGAATCCACTGAAATATCTTGCTATCTTTAACAGCTTTTGTATCATCTCAAGGAGAGCAGGGTTACTATGAGCGTTAAATTAGGTGTTAATACACACTAGATTAATGCACAAGGCAAAAGCCAATAAGAAAGCTGGGGAAAAGTAATATTATACCACATTTTTTACCTTCTGCAGTTTCGTTCTTCACCAGATAACTTCGGTATATCAGTACTATTTCAATCCAGTGTTGGTAAACGAAGGCAACGCACACAAGAAATGCAAATAGAGCTGAAATAGCACTGCATAGCACATATAAGAGAAACACTGTGGAAAGAAAAGGGTCTATCATAACTCTGAGTTTCCAAAATAATGTTAACACTTAGATGAAATGCTCAGTTCAGAAATGGGGATAAGCCAGCTCACTGTCTTCAGTCTTGATCCACAGGCAAACTTCAGGGAAGTCTGGATTTCATTTAGTGGCATATCTCAACATAATGTTTCAGTCTACTACCAAGAATAACATTTGAATGGCATCTGCTTCGCTGGATGAAAAGCCAATCTATCATGGAAGGCACAGAGCAAATCAAATCATCTATGGTACACTCAGCATTGGTTGAGATGAAAAAGATGCCTTCAATTTACTTTAACACACAATACCCATCTGCAGACTTCCTGATCTGCCCCACTCATTAATCTCCGCAATGAAGTATGGTTAGAAGTGTGAGAGCAATTTAATTTCCACACTAACTCCGTTTTCGGTCTTTGCTTGAAGGGCTGCCATCAGCAGCCTTTCAGGTAGTCAGGCCACCTGAGTAATCACCAGAATCATGTCTCTTTCTAGATATCTCACAAATCAAACTTGCCCAATCCAATGTTAAGCAACTTCTGCAGCTGACTGTCAAGCCAATGACCATGTCCATGGGAAATGAATCTGTAATGGTGAGTAAAGCAAGATGTGTTTTTATAGCCAGATAATGCTCTATCTAGTTTTACCTCCTTGTTTTCTTTTTAGCCTGATCACAGCTGTAGAGTTCCCCACAGCATTCTGAGCAAAACACGTGAAGTTGCTCTTCAGGTCTCTCTCAGTAACTTCTTTCAGTTTAGCAACATGATGAAGTATGCTGCCCTTTAAACCATTTGGATGAATACTAGAGAGAAAAAAAATATGTATTTGCAATATACTTTTGCTGCTCGCTCACGTATTCTGCTAATGTTTTACATACAAAAACAAGTGAACTTGTAACTTTTTAACAGTCAGCTTCCCATTTTAACATAGATGTGATATTCTGATGTGAAACTTCAATTGTTTTTACATAGTAAAAAAATACCAAAATCAAAGGTCAACAGATTCTCAGTTCATCAACTCAGCAAAACATTTAAGCACTTGCCTCACTTTACATAGGCACCTTAAGACTATTTGTGTTTTTTTTTTTAAAAAAAAAAGATTTAAAAAATGCCCCAGAGAAAACACATGGGGACAATTTTGAAAAGGAGCCATAAGAGAGGACTAGCTGGACAAGAAGACTGTGCAAGCACAGTCTCTTTATTAGGGATAGAAAACCTGAGGAGAGGATAGACAATCAGAGTAAGATAGAAATAAGTGATTTGAAGTTTAAAGATGAAGATGGAAGGGAGGAGTCATTCTGGGACTGGGGACAGATAGTGGGCAATAGATCTGTGTCTGCAATCATTAGAGAGCAGCCAAGATTTCTGACACAGCTTGCCTCTGAAAACCAGTGTTTGGGTAGTCCTGAAAATGCCTCCTGTCATGCTACTGCAGGCCAGTATGGGCCAGCGACAACCCTTGGTTAATACGGTAGCACAAAAGTTACAGATATGGGCATGGGGAGCAAATCTAGGGATTTACCATGTGCTTAAGATCTTTTGGGGATGTTAGTTTCATGTAGGTGTTGGAAAAATAAACAGATAAAAAGTGCACACACCTACAAAACTAAAAAAATGATAAAAATTGATAAATTGATAAATTGATAAATTGATAAAAAGAACATTACAAACCTAAGCAATCAAAAGTTTGGAAAATCCAGAAGTTAACTTGAATTCAAAAACTGAATCGTGTGTGTGAAAGAGAGAGAGCGAGAGCATCTCCCCTCACTCAGAGCTTCCATTAAAAATTTCATTTTAGCAGTGACAGGAGAGCTTTTGCTTTCCCCAACATACAGAAAAAGGTTATCATAAAGACGGCTCAGAGCAGTATAGTGTAGGTCCACTTGTTTGCAGATCCACTACATTTCCTGCCCAAGTTGGACACTGTATAAATGAATAAGACAGGAAACTACAGAAACAAAAAGGAGACATGTTGACAATTTGGGCTGTCCCAAAGTCACAGGAAGCCTTTTCCCCACTAGTCACTTCTCTGAGTGGTCTGCTTAATTCCTGGCAGCGATGACTTCTTGAAAAGTCCTAAAACTCAGTGCTGCTAAGTCCCCAGACTGACTCAATAGCCTCAGTAAACACGCCCAAACTTGTTTCCAGAGAATTTGTTCATAGTATTGTTTTATTGGATCTGCTTTATTCCCCGCTCATAGATAATTTTCTTAGACAGCTAGTGTGAATTGCTTACAAGGACGAATAAAGTGAGCATGTGGAAACAGGTGATCCAGGCACAGGGAGCCAGGCACCATCCGTACTGACACGTCCTGTGAGCTAGAGCTTTGCTTTAGGAGGAAGAGTTCAGGTTAGAAAGTAAGTTCAAATTCTTGACTTCGCAGACATACTGTGCGTTTAAGATGTTCTTCTGCATGCAAAGGGCATGCACCTCTCACATGCCCTGGGACATACATGTTAACATGTTGAAGGTTCACAAAGCGTGTGTGGTTAGAGCCTTCTGAGTTTCAGTGAAATGTTGTATTAAGTGAAGCTGTTGTGGAAGGACTTTTACAACTGCTGAGAGAGTAATAAGACTAGTAGGTTTATTTTTTACCTTGTTTCCTGTTCCAATTTCTCGTTTGTATTTTCTTCGTTGTCTCTTTTCCATGTTACCTTCTGCAGAGAACCTCTTTCAAACCCAAACTGTACAACACATTTCAATTCAAGTGGCTCTCCTGGAACGAATTAACACAGGAAAATGATGCACAGAGGTCACTAGAATGTTTTTTCCTCTAATAGCTTGGGATCTGTATAGTATAATGTATAGTATGATGCTTTCTTTAATATGCACTAAGATATACACCCAAAAAACCTCTACATTTTATATAAAATTCTCACATTCCAGGAGAGAAAAGCTGATTTGTTTTATCAAAATCAATCAAAAACTTTCATGATATAACAATCAAAAATTTCCTTTTGCTTTTAGATAAAGAATCAAAACTTACCGAGCTCTGCTTCAAGAATCATCACAGCACTGGGATACAAGAAGTATGGTGGATGGATAGTGTTTTTTGCTGCGATTAATAGTAATAATATTAATCATCAAAACAGAAGACTAAAGAAAACATCTGATGATAGATTTTTTTTCAAATATTAAGTAGAATGCCTAAGGCGTTGAGACGCCTAAGACCAAGAGGGTGATTTTCACTTGTTACCTAGATGTCTGAGAGTTCACAGACATGGGAGTCTTTACTACAAGTCTTACTTGCTGAGTAACTTATATGGAGCAGGCCGTATAACTGTATAGTTATACAGTCATAACTGCAGTAGTAGGACTTACACAGTCCTTATACAGTCCTGCTACTGCAGTTACACCAAGGCTGTGTCATCTTAGTTGCGCTGAACATTTTAACATCTATCTTGCCCTTACAGTTATTTAGGATTCACAAGTAAGGTATCCCAATACAAAAACCACTGAAGGACACAATCCTCATATCAGTTCCCTGCCCAGCCCAGTTCAGTAAACCAGTAAACATAAATACAACATAGCAAAACTCACCCACATTTTAAATACATCATACAAGTACTTGCATTAAAGTAACTATGCTTTTTCAAATGAAGGGCACAGATAAGGTCAAGCCCGGTTTGTACAATATGGTTTTACAATGTGGTTTGTGATCTAAGCAGTTACCCATGCTGCAGGGATACCCTGAAGGGACTAAATCCCACAGCATCGATATTCTGAGAAAGACTTATGCTGCAGGAAATGGTGCCAAACTGCTTTTGTTTCTAAGCCAAGCCGCAACACAGAAATGTATGCCGAAGTCAGAGTGCAGAGGTACATGGAACTTTTCAGCTTTTTTCTCAACCATGGTATGAACTGAGAGACAAGAACTGAGAGGCACAGTGTATTAGCTCAGTTTTGGTCAGATCAGAATAAAAGCAGAGACATTTCATGCTCATTAAGAAAATAATGTAGAAATACACCTACAACCTGATGTTGTAACCAGGCACATGGACCTCTGAAAGGGTGTTAGGATGTGTTTTCCAGCTCCCATCCTGATGTGTTCTTCCCAATCCTTTTTTAGTATAAAATGCATTAAATACTTCAGAGCAGGAACCAGTTACCTCAGAGGAGTGCTCTCACCAGTAGCTCACAGAACTACTTTGCCTTAATTGATGCCTTTCTCTTACTCTATAAAGTTTCTCCTTTTTGCAGAGTGGCCCACTTCCCAGAAGGCTGGGAATAAGTCCTGTGCTGCTTAGTTAAAGAGCCCAGAGGGCTCTGTGAAGGGTCTGTGAAGACTGTACACAAACAGCCCCCAAAATTGGAAGAGCACTCAGACAGGAAAGCATGTCACTTTTGCAGAAGAGCCTAAACAATGAGAGAAATAGTATAGGAAAGAATAGAAAAAAAGTTTTCATTAAAGATACTTTATTCTGAACTTTATTACTCACCAATAACTTCTACCGTAACTATGGTTCGCACTGTCCATTCAGTATTGTTGTCAACTAGAGTGTAATCACACACATACGTTCCAGCATCCTTGTCATAGGTTGAAATCAAGCAGATTTCATTGTGGTTAAATTTTAGACTTGGTCTCTGGTTTTGAAACATCACTTTACGTCCATCCTAACAAAAAGTAAAAAATATCAAAGATTAGATGTCACCTTTCTTTTGTGATATTAACTACATTATCTTTTAAGATATTCCGACAAGACTGCCATGGTGGTAGGGATAACCCAAGAGTAAAATGCACAAATGAGGAACTTGCAGTCATTTTCATTTACTAATATCATGCAGGTATATCAATCCTTACAAACAGAATAAAGCATACATTTTAGCTTGCAAATATTTTAGTAGTCATGTGAAAAAGAGTGAGTAGGTACATTTCACTGATACGGTTTTTCACTTAAAATCTTCATACAATTTCACATAATGAAAAAAAATCATATAATGATTTGGTCCGCGTGAGTTTTTTTTTTTTTTTTAGAATTAGAAAAAATTCAAAATCAGATTAACTTCCATGACACCAAAAAAACCTTCACTTTCTTCAAAACTGTTACTGACAGAGATGACATATAGCCATATAAAATTCTAATTTTGCTTGTAAATCTCAATCTGCATTGTCTATTAAAGACATTCAGGGACCTATGGCACCTAAACAAGAATTAGATCTGAAGCCTGCACTGACCATTCTTGAAGGCTTAAGACAGTGAATCTTACCTTGTACCATTTTACATCTGGATTTTTTATAGGGCTGTAACATTTTGTCCCCGGGCAAACTATTGAATTCCCACTGCCAGCAAGAAGATGCAGTGTATTCGTGCCATAATCTGTACAGTTTGCCTCACTCTTTGTTTGAACCTCCAGAATCATTTTGAGGCATGGGATTTTTCCCCTGTGTTGCGAAAAAAAAAAAAAAAAAAAAAAGGTAAAACATTCAATATACAAAACAAAAAGTATAATTGCCAATTATTAATTATTATGATTAATTATTCTTGCATACAATGTTAGCATTTTGCCCCACTACATACCGTATCATACAGATGTAGATTCCAGAAGCACTAATCCCTATTGGATTAAACCAGAGAACATTCCCTTTCAGAATAAGGTTAGGGCTGTTCTCAGTAATAGCTTGCAGTGGCTCTCTGTCTTTCTGATGCCAGAACCATTTTGTCTCGTGTTGTTTTAGAAGAGACTGATTAAAAATGTGGGTAGCGTCTTTGACTGGTAAAGCACAAGGTAAAACAAACTCCTCATGACTAATCGCACGATACCATGCTTGAGGTTTTACATGGGAACAACCTGAAAAGCAGGACAACAAAACATTAGAAACAAAACACCAGGAAACAAAACCTCAGGAAAAAATAGGAATTGTGCAAAAATACAATTTTTACAATTTTCATGCTAAATATTTTGTTGCAAGAGCTTACGTTAGCCTAATAAAAAGTTGATTTCCTTAACTATTGAAATGCAAAGTTCTCAAAGTTTTTTTCAAAGGTTTTCAAAGGTTCATAGCCCTCTTTCAAAGACCTAATGCGAAAATAGCTTAAGATTTTCAACAAACCTGAAATTTTCAAATGGGCGCTAACCTGCTAAACCTCATCTCTAAAGAAGATCAGATGTAGCTATTGCAGTTCTCTTCATATTAGTAGAGAAGGTACTGACATAAATGTGAAAAATTTTGAAGAAACCAGAGTTGACCTATCCCTCTCTCTATTCAGGCTAACAGTGACAAGCATAGCATCATTCTTTCATTGCTTTCAAATCCTTCCCCTCTCTACATTATAACTACTGCCACAAAAATTAAATACACTTTGGTGTGCTGAAAGCTTTGATTTCCCATCCTGACCACAGTTTCTCTAAAGGCTGATTGATCTTGAGGCATAGCCCCTCTGGCCAGTCAGGACGTGGTAATCCCAAAGTGGGATCCAAGTCTGAAAGGGGAACGATGGTAGGATTTCATTTCAGCAGAAGGCATGAATTGTTCAGTTCATCATTTGCCCACCCAGGAGACTCTGGGCAGTTTCACTGCCCAGAACTTGACCAAGCACCTGCCCAAAGACTATGTGAACAAAAGACTTTGATATCATTCTCAGCCTGCCTTTCTCTTCCTCCTTCCGCGTGCTTAGACCAGCTGCTGGAGACTTCAAGAAGTCACAGCAACAATTCAGTTTCTCCATCTGATTCTCAGAAATTCTTCTTCACTTTTGCCCTTTCTGTTCCATTTCCATTTCAAAATATCATGAAAGCATAACAGGCTATAGATCCACATTTCTCAGCTGTGAGCAAAGATCATGAAGATGAAAACCCACGAAAGCAGCCTCTTACCTGACAAATCAATCTCTCTAACTTCTGTCCCATCAACGAATAATACCAGGATGCAGCCAAACATAAGCATGATTTTCTTTATCAGTTTTGCTTGATATTCAGAGACATTTTCTTTAAGAGCCATCTTGCTTGCTGTAAAGTAGGAAAAGAGCCATTTGTTGCAAATAGTAATTCACAACATATGGACGGATAGGTAATTATGTATTTCATTATGTAGCTCTATAAATATAATCAGAAAGTATTTCCTAGACATTGTGTGTTTTAAAATTGGGATATGCAATGTTCTTCCTATTCATACTGTTTCACACAGATGCAGAATAGATAATATTGAAGAACATTCAACAACCTCTTTAAAAACATCTGGCATGGAGTTGCTCACAGTTGATACGTACAGCAATGCAGAGCTCCAGGTCTGTAACAGAATTGCAGGTTTCTCAGCAGCTCTTGTTGCAGGAAGTCAGAGAAACTCTTCCTCTAAGCTGGGTGGTAAAATAACTGCCAAGAGGATCATCCTTTAGCTAGAGATAAGCATTGCCAGCAGATTGAGGAAGGCATAACTAGCACAAGAGCTCCAGTGCTAAGTAGTTTTGAGCTGAGTGTCCTGCAGCCTTTTCAGCTACAAGGCCAGAGCAGAGGGGCAGACTGCCTAGCATGCAGCAAGGGCAGACTGCCTAGCATGCAGCAAGGATGGGCACGGTTTGATTTGGGTTGTCAGTAAGAACACATCCAATGCCTGCCGCTGTTGTGTGTGGACTGCCCCATTCAGTGAGTAAACTCGGCATGCTTTGCCCATGTTCGCATTGTGCAACCGAGATCGTGAGGAGCTTTTTTCTCTGCTCATGGGGTCGCAGGGTGACTCTGCTCTTACACAGCTGCCAGAGGCACCGCATCAGCTCAAGGGGAAAAAAAAGGTCAGGCAAGGGTTAGTCCCTAAGCAGTTGGCACCTCATGCAAATCAGATAGGACTAATAAGGAACAAGGCAGCAACAGAGTACCCACTGTGCCCTGAGCTAGTGACAGAGGTGAAGAGAACACCCACTTGACACCTTTTCAGGCAGCTCTTTTACAGAGAAAGGAGCACTTTAGTCACCGTTCAGTTCAGCATGTCTCTGTTCCTCGCAAGTGAGTGGAACGAGCTATTTTTACACTCAGAGGTCACACAGAGTAGGCTGTCTGTCTGTCTGTCTTACCCCTCGAAATTAGCTGCTGCCCATTGGCATCTCCCTACACAAATTTTACATCCGAAAAGAGAATGAGTTTCCTACCAGCACTGAGCAAAGGCCCTCCCAAACTTTATGAAGTCTGTCTTGCCCACTGCAAAATGATTAGAGGATCCTGATCAAAATGATTAGTGGATCCTAATTCTTTTGAATTTGAATTTTAGACAAATATAAAGATATCTCTCAGGGCATACAACTATGGTTCTACATCTCTGATAATATCATAGCACCTAGAATAAAGGATGCTGGTTTGGTTTATGTCACCCACTAGCCAGTGTGGCAAAGGCACACAGGTACTCATAGCAAGTAGAACCCATATTGAGTTAAAGATATAGTCTCTCGGGTCGGTGAATAATCTAAAGGATCACTGTTGTCAAAAGGGGAAGGTTTCATCTGCTCATCTATCCTCCCATGTCCCCTGTCCCTTTATGCCAGGCAAAAGGTCTAGCCCTTTGCCCATGACAGTTCTTGTGATCTTTGATGACCCAAATCAATTCAACTTGTGAAATAATCAGAAAAAAAATAGTTGAGGAATGCCTGACCTGACACAAGATAAGCAGTGATAGTAGATGTAGCTGGGAGAGGAAGAAGAGAGACAAGGGAAGGGAGCAGGACTTCTGCAGGCAGGTAGCAGTTAACTATTTAGATCAGTTCTCCTGAAACCACCATGTAATATCATACTGTGTTGTCTTTGTCTCCATATTTGATTTAATCAGAAAATGGAGAGTGTGGATGTGGTCTTCACTTCAAGTTTAGAGCAACATTTTAACTTTCAATTTTGGAACTGCTTTGCAATGTTTTCACTTCCACAGGGTTTCAAATGCCATACAGATGTCCTCCACTTGCACAATATGTGGAGATGAATTCCACCCCCTTCTTTCCTTTTATCCCCATTCAAGACATTTTCCCCTTCCTTCCAAAGCTTCCACCTACTGTGGTCCAGGATAGAAAAACATCATCCAAAACCCAGGACTGCACAAGGGGAGAGGAATCAACATGTCTGTAAAACTTTAAGTTCTACCAAAACCAGCTGCATCCTGTGAAAAATGAAGCCAATATTCTGCAGAGCGTGTCCCAGCAAGAAAGTGGACTGATCTTCCACACCGACCTCTTTATTTAATATATTTGGGCCTGAGATAAGGTATGATTCTTTAAGGTACACTTAAAATACACCTGAATAGTTTTACTCTAGATCTGAGTGTTGTGAAAAGATTTTGAATCTGAATGCTGTGGAAGCTCTTTGAGTTCAGCATGAATGGGGAGGAAGTGGGAAACGGAATTCCCACTTAAATAATTAATTCATTAAAATGAATTTGATACCTTTGGTTAGCAATCTGAATTACTTTTTACTACGTTTAGCCAACCAATTTTTTGGCTACCTGTTAACACTTTCAGCAGATGTCAATGAAAATGTCTAATTTTTAGATTGATTAAGAATATAACATGTAAGAAGTACTTGAGAAGTTTCATCTTTTGATTATGCCTAACAGGAAAATAAATTATCAGCAAAAGCAGACAGTAATTACCAAGAGAGGGGAATTTGAAACAGAATAGCCTTAAACTGCTGATTTGCACTGCAAGTATACTCAAGGTAAGAAAAACTCAGACTTTATCTCTATCCATATATACCAGAAAATGAAAGCACTCAACTCTGGCCAACACATAACCAAGAGGAAGGTTAGATTTATCTCCTGCCATGTATATACCACATTATTAATCCATAATCTAGAGATTTAGGGTGCAATTTCAGAGGAAAGTAATTTAAATACAAAGGAAATTAGTGTGGTTTTACCATAGTTTCCTGTGGTAAAGTGAAGTAAGAAGAATAAAAACAGTATTACTCTGCCTATGTTTTAGCTTTGGAAGGATTCTCACAAGATAACAACAAATCTCTACTTCAGACCTGTTTCAAGTATTTGCATAAAATCTGAGCAAAGTAAATCAGAATCAATTTATTGGGAGCGACACCAAGTTTCATGATAGCCTTGAAGTGTAGTAGAGAGTGGCATGCCATAGCCTATTATACTGATTCTGCTGAGACTCACTTCAGTCTCAGAGCAATCAATTTCTATGATTTGCATGGGATTTACATCATTCAAAGACCAAACATAATCTGAATATAAGAGTAAGAGGATTATTAATAGTCACACGGGAGAAAAAATAAAAAAGCTCTATCATATGCAAAGCAAAGGAATGAAGCTGCTTTGTTTGCCTAAGCAATTAAAATCAATATATTTTAAAACACATATTCAAAGAAAATAAAAATAACTCAACTGTTAAGCAGATAGGGCTAACATTTTAAGTTTAAAGTTTTTACTAAAAAAAAAAAAATTATCTGAAAAATCTTACCTGCACCTCCTACACTATACGATAAAACTGTGGTTAGTTCTAGCTGAGCACTGTGTTCAGTCTGTTTCCTTTACAAGAATTTCCTCTACCTCATCATGCCTTCCTTTCTCAGTTTAATTGCATGAGGTTCAAAGTTTCAGGGTAGTTTTCTTATAAAAACGAACAGAGGAAGAGGAAAAAAAGTTTACCTCCAGTAAAAGATTAAGGCATTCCAATTTTTAAGATCTTTTATTCACATTCTGTCCAAAAATGTATTGGACTTTTTAGTTTGTTTCATTCAAGAATGGGGAGGGTGAAGGATTATTTCTTCTTTGCCCAAAAGCTGCTACTGAAAAGCTCAAAATAAAGCATGTAATATCTGAAATCTCCAAGACAGCCATATATCTGCCTAACACAATAATATTCACTAGAATAGGCAATTCTCTTCACCCTTAGCGTGCTCTTTGACACATACTGCAAACTGGCAGCACCAGAGGACTGCACCACACTGCTGCTTTCCATCCTCAGCATCAATGTTGAGGTTTGTTGCTGCAGCTTTGGCCAAAACACAATAGGGAAGGCCTGAATATGAACTACTCATGACCTATCAGATCTGCAAGACTTTCAGCATAAAAGCATCGGAGAGTTCATGCTCTCAATTCAGATCCCAGCCCTCCCCGCATCAATAGAGGTTATATGAATACACAGACTTCGTCGAAAAGCATCGAATTTATCTGAAAAACAGTTAGACTTGTTTCTTCTTTTCATGCATGAAGCTTACTCTATTTACTGCTGATTGGGTCAATTATCTATTTGATTCAATGTCTGTGACAAAAAAGCTAAAATAAAAAAGCTAAAAGAAATCTTTTTACTATATAACAGATTATCACAATCTACACACATCCACATTCTTTTAGCCAATGGCCAATACTAACAATTGTTTTTATTGGGTCCTGAGCTTCTGAGGATACTGGATGTATCCACAGCTATGTATTTCAGTTTCCACTGTGTGTTTAGCTCTAATCTTTTTCCAGAATAGGGCTCACTGACAACAAGTTTGGTGATCGTCTCCTAAAAAATCTTTTATATTTCATCCACAAAAAA